TACACTGTACCAAGCGGTCTCCCTCTCTCCGAGGACGCTTATGCCCCCCAGCGATGGTGATTACCTCGACACCATCCTCCTCCTCTCGTGCGTGATGACGGGGAGGAGGCGCATGCCTTGGAGGTGGAGGCAAGCGCTCCCGGCGGGGTGTTTGCTCCCTCCTCGACGACTTGGATCTCCGACGTCTAGGCGTGCGGGATCTTCTCCTTGGGCTTGGTTACCTGTCCCTTTCTCCTGCTCTCTCCCTGGGATGCGCCCGTGTGTCCAGGCGGTTTTTCAGGTCCCCGGGAGCCAGGTACTTGAGGCTAGCCTTGAACTCTCGACACTCTGTGGTGTCGTGAGTCGGCAGTTGGTGCCAGTCGCACCACTTTTGGTCGTCTTCTCTCCTTTGGCGGGGGTGCGCCTCTCTGGTCTTGCCCCCTTCACGGCGCCCATCCTCTTCTTTCTGCGAGGTGAACACCTCGCGCCTTCCCTCTCTGTTGTTGAATCTGGGTTGTAGTCGCGCCTCTCGGGCGTGCGTCCCCTTCGTTTTGGCGACCCGTTTCTTCCCTTCTCCGCTTTGTTCGAAGGGGTTTGTGCTCCTTTTGCGCCCTCTTCGGCGTTAAGCGCTTCCTCCAAGAAGATGGCCTTTCGTACCACGCGGTCCAGATCTTGCCATGACTTGATGTCGTGCTCCTTCTTGATGAGGGCCCTCTTTAGTTCCCGGCTGTGCGTTGACATTCTCAGGTTCCCAGTGGCCACGCTGGTTGAGACGTCCTGAACCTCGCACGCTATTGTGTTCCATCGATCGTAGAAGTCTGCCAGCGTCTCCTCTTCTCCTTGCTTGCAGTTGAGGAGCACCGAGACAGTGAGCTTCCTCCTCCGTTGGGATGCGAATTTTAACGAAAAGAGGGTGGCAAACTACTTGAAGTTCTCGATTATTCCAGCTGGTAGGGACGCACACCAGCTCCTACATTGCCCCCTGAAGGTGACTGGAAACGCTTTGCACAGATATGCGTCTGAGGTGTTTATCAACTGCATCTTGAGCATGAAGGCGCTCAAGTGATCCGACGGATCTGAGTTTCCCGTGTAGGCAGGAAGCCCGAGTGACGAGAAGTTTGATGGCACCTAGGTCTTGAACAGCCTTTTCGCCCAAGGGGTTGTGCAGCACGTTGTACCCCTTGGGTTTCCAGTAGCAGGGTCGCAAATGCTCTTCGAGGAGGTCAAGGTGGGCGTCCTCGGCGTCATCTTCTCTATCGGATTCCCCGTCCACTGTCCGAGCAGGGCTGGGAGGAACCTTCTACACCTTTGCCCTTATCGCTTCGCCTCTTAGAACCTTCTGGCTCGTCTCTTGTTCTGAGCATGGTGAGGATCTGGCTCAAACTCTCTTGCATAATGGTGATTTGTTTCCCTTGGTCCCTCACACGCTCTTCCATATCCTTTTCCTCTTCGACCGTCGGCATTTCCAATCCTCTGATGTTTTCTCCGCCAATCACGTCCTTCACCGAAGTTCTGAAGTTACCCTCCATCCTTTTTCAAGCACTTCGCTCCTGCCCCACGGTGGGCGCCAAATTGTTCGTGCCTAGTAGATACTAGGCGGTTTGTGGAGCTGGGGCGAGGCGCCTGTTCTTGGATATGGGAGCGCTCCAGATACTCTGCAAAACAAGGGTCCGGGGCGGTTTCCTGGGACACTCTCCGAAGCTTAAGTTAGAGAGAGAAAGGGAAGAGATATATTTATGATAGAGAGATAGATAGTAGTTGGGTTTACCATTAATGCACTCACTCTGTATTTATACCTAGCTCGAGGGTGGTTGAGGCATTAAATGCCATGTCGGGCGTCCTGGGCCGTGTCAGGCGCCCTGGGCAGGCTTTTAGCCCTTTTGCAGGCCGCCTGCGGAAGACAATAAATGCTTAGTCTCACCTGACACAGGATACGTATCTCAACGGCTCTTTACCTTTCTGTATTAGTCAGTCGCTTTATGTCAGGCGCCCCTATCTATTTTTTGGGCCTAGAGTCGGTCAAGGACCGCCTGCTGACCCGGTCTTTTTGGCCGGACCAGGTTTCCTTATTGGGCCTTATCTTCTGACTCACCCCTCTTGGGCCCGAGGCCCAAGTACGCTCAACTATGCGGCCCAACAACTCCCTTGTGCCTGATACTTAAATTAAACGATTCTAGGCAATGCCCAAAGTGTCATACAATAACTAGTAATTGATTCCCGAATCCGAGGTCTCAATGTTATGATAACCTATATGAAGAGAGTGAGCTATGTTGGCGAGATAGTCCATCGCCTAATTACATGCTCTATAAGTATGAGAGATGATCACCTTCTAGTCTTGATTGACAGTTTCCTGGAGCCTCCGAATGAGGTTCGAGTAGTGAGTATTCTCATGGATTCCTTTTTGGAGAAGATGTACAGCAGTGGTAGAATCCAACTTTGACATCACCTTTTTGTAGCCTTCTCTCTAGGTGAGTTGCAAGCCAAGAAGGGCACCTTGTAGTTCAGCCCTTGTGATAGTGCATGTCCCTAAATTAGTTGCAAGCCTGCAAAAGCACCTACACACTTGCCGAGATGATTACCGATGAGGCCACCAGTCATTGCCTCTGAGTTTGGTTGAAAAACAGATCCATCGACATTAACTTCACCACCCTAGAGGAGGTGCCTCCCAAGCAAGCTTTGTACTGGACTTCTTTTGTTGCATTCCCAACATCTTGAGGTTATTCTCTTTAGCTTGTAGGATCGTCCAGTAGTGAATGTGGAATGCAAGACTAATAGCTTCCTCCCTCTTTCCTTCAAAAATCCATTCATTCCTTCTCTTCCATATGTACCAAATGGCAACACCAAAGAGCAGTCATGTATTTGTGTTTTGCAGATTAGCCGCAATCCATTCTGCAAAAGCAAGGTCGTGTTTCAGGTTATTCTCAATGATACCTACTTTTTGCCAAACCTGTATGGCGTATGGGCAATGTCGGAAGACATGCTCAGTAGTCTCGGGCACCGATTTGAAGATTTCACAAGTATCTACTAAGCAGAGCTTCCGTCTCTTTCTTTTACAATTTGTCATTAGGCGATCGTATTATGTAAGCCAGAGATGGTGGCGTATTCTATTGGGCCGGTCCACTTCCATGCGCTTTTCCAAATCTCTTGGTGATGAAGAGAAGCGTCATCATCATCTTCCTGTCTCCATTCTGTCATAGCTGCATAGACTAACTTCAAATTGAACAAGCCATTCTTCTCTAATCCCCAAACGGTGACATCTTCTCCTGCATCAGAGCTAGGGGTATCCGTACCTGCAATCAAGGCAAGGGCAACATCAGTGATGTATGGGGCAAAGTTATCCTAGAGCCACTCACATTAATTCGAGGCGATGTCCTCAACAGTAGCATCCCAGTCAAGATTGGAGCTTTCTATCAGAACATGGTCCTTCAGAACTACTCCATCTGCAAGCCAGGAATCTGTCTAGAATTTAACATTTCTGCCATTCCCTATAAAGCACATTGTTTAATGATAGGCATTGCCTTTGTTATGCCCTGCCACAATCTTGAAGTCTGGTGTCTACGCATGGACAAGTTACCATCACCATTGTTCCTGCCATATTTTCCCTGCAGAACTCTCACCCAAAGGTTGTTTTCGTTATTGAGGAAATGCCAACCAAGTTTCATCATATACGCCTTGTTGAGGATGCAGGTTGACCGTAGGCCAAGTCCACCCTCCTCCTTGAACTCGCAAACTTTATCCTAAGCCACCAAATGAGCTTTCTGCTTATTTGTATCTACACTCCAGACAAAAGATCTTATTTTTTTGTCAATGATATCACAGATAAAGCAAGGTAGGACAGAAGTTTGCATAGTATAATTTGGAAGAGCATTTAACATCGAGGAAGCAAGTGTGACCCTTCCTCCCAAGGATATGTTCTTAGTTTTCCAGTTTTGTAGTCTTTTGTTAATATTGTCGATGATGTACTTGTAAGTCTCTTTGGTCACTCTACCATGGATCACCGGGACACCGAGATATCTCTCGATATTGTTTGTACAAGGCATACCTAGAATATTAGTGATTCTTTCTTTAGTCACTTTGCCATGTATATTTATTGTTTATGGCGATGTGTGTGGCTATACTAACTAGAATTCCTACATCAAAAGAAGACCTTTGATAACCCCCCTTTGTTAAACCGGTTCTTCGACCTGAAGCTTGGTCGTGATTCAGATTCATCTTGGATGATGGGTTGCAACACTATTGGGAGTCTTATATACTTGGCAGGCACCCGACCTGACATTTTCGTATGTTTTTCAAGTTAGTCATTTCGTGGATACACCTCATGTTGATCACCTTTTTGTCATTGCATTGTTGTAATGACATGGGTATTTAAGGGTTTCTCTTGTATATGAACAACGCGGTACATGGGGTATTATCTCTAGACAAATAAGAACTAGTTCTGAACACTCTATAGGAAATCACATAAATTTGTTTGTCTTGCTCGTTTTCTCTGATCACGTACAAGCTAATCAAACACATCTATTTCTATTCTATTGCTACTTTTCTACTAATAGGTAACTTGTCATAAATGGTTTCCTAGTAACATCTACCTCCCACCCAACCAACCCTCACGATTTTCTGATATCAGGGTTTCTTTCACTACACAGATATAGAATAGTACTTCTCTTCCATTGATTTCTAGGCTTAATGCTCACTCACCACATCGCAATCACACCCACATGTCATGCCCGTGTGGCCAACGATGCATCTACCCATTATTTTAGCAATTTGCCTCTCCCTTGCATTCATTTCCAAGAACAACTTAAACAATGGCTATAATGTTTTTCTTTAAGCGGAGAAGAGAGGAGATGCCTTTTACACGTACGATCGGTTCGGTGCTCCCATCCTCTCTTGTAGAGATTTCAATAGGGGCTGCCGTGCTTTGATGATGATAATAACTTAAATTCCTGAATTAAAATTACAAATTCCGTGGGAATAAAAATTAAACTATTTCCTTCTTCTTCTTCATCATCTTCTTCATCTGCCTAAGTCCAGCTAACGGCTATGGGACTCCCAACGACGTGTTTCCCGTCCGACCACTCCAACCGCGCGAAACGATTTGTACTGATCGGCAGCGAACTCGCGGTAAACGTCACCGTATAGGATCGCTTCAGCACTGCCTGGCTGAAACTCAGCGTTTCGGGCTCCACCGTAATCTTAACTCCAGGGGTCTGATTCGGTGTGACCGACACCTTGTAAGTTCCCGCAGGACCGACGTTGGTCACCGTCCGCGTGTACTTGATCACCAAGTTCCCTCCGCCGTTGATTTGGGTCGTGTCGACGTTCACCGCGAACGAAGGGTAGTTGAGGTCGGTCACACTGTACCTCTTCCTGGGGTCGCACGTATAGTTCTTCCTCGCCACGCTCTTGATCTGCGTGTCCGTGTAGTTCAGGGCGCACAGGAAGCCCAGGTAATCCTCGGCCGTCAGATCGTATACCAGCCCCGGATTGAGCGCCGCCACGGGGTCCACGTGGCCGGCGCCGTGATCGAACGGCGTAGAGTCGTTGCCCGTTGCCACGTCTTGAAGCTTGCGCCCGTTCTTGTACGTGACGTAAGCAGTCGTCATCAGCGCTGACCGGATGGCGGCGGGGCTCCACTCCGGGTGCGCTCCCTTCAGGAGGGCGGCGAGGCCGCTGACGTGCGGGCAGGACATCGACGTGCCGGAGATGATGTTGAACTCGGTTCGCCGGGAATCGGTCGGTAACCCGGTCGGACCAACCGCGCCGGTCCAGCCCGCTAAGATGTTGACGCCGGGCGCGATGACATCGGGTTTGAGGATCTCCGGGGTGATTGAGTTGGGGCCTCTGGAGCTGAAGGCCGCCACCACCGGCGCCGGCTCGACTCCCAGCTTCGTTCCCTCGAAGAAAATCGTCGCCGTCGGGTTCCGATCTGAGAGCAGATAACTCTTGATTGTCTCGCCTGTCTTCTGGCCCACCGTGGACGCCGGCAGCAAGTGAGCGTCGCCGACGAGTTCCTCGCCGTTGGCCTCCGTGTTGGCCAGAACCATCCCCAATCCGCCGGCGGCTTTCACCACGGCTCCTTTCTGGACTCTGGCATTCACTCCACGATCGCAGAACACGATCTTCCCCTTCACTTTCTCCGGAATCAGAGTGCCAATCATGCAAAGGTTCCCATTGGTCGAGTTACTGACATTCCCGGCGTAGACGAACGGCAAGAGCTTCGCGGGCAACGCGGCGCCCTTGTAGAGCGAGACGCCAGAGTAGTTCTTGCCATTGCCCAGACTGACAACAGCAGGGAAATCCCGATCCAATGTCCCCGCTCCGACGGTGGTAATCCACGGCGCCACATTCGACAAGCTGTAAGCAGTCGGCCCAGCATTTCCAGCGGAGCAAGAGACCAAGATCCCTTTCTCCATAGCCGAGAAAGCTCCAATCGCAACACTGTCCCTGTAGTAGTCAGAGGTCCCTCCGCCGAGCGACATGGACAGGACATTGACTCCGTCCTCGATCGCCTTATCCATGGCGGCGAGGATATCGGAGCTGAAACATCCCCCAACCCAGCATACCTTGTAAATCGCGACCCTAGCACGAGTCGCCATTCCTCGAGCAGTCCCGGTGGCGTAACCGAGGAGATTGGCCCCGTCGACGGCGGATCCGGCGGCAGTGGTGGAAGTATGAGTGCCGTGGCCGTCGTCGTCACGGGGAGATCTGGACTCCTTAGTCTCGTCGACAGGCCCCATCGTGGCCTCATACCCTTTGGCGAAGAACCTCGCCCCAATCAACTTCCGATTGCAGTTGGCGGCGGTGAAATTCGTTCCGGACTCGCACTGCCCGTTCCAGGTTCCCGGCAAAGGTCCGAATCCAGTGTCGTCGTAGCTCTTGCTCTCGGGCCAGGCGCCGGTGTCGAGCACGCCGACGACGACCTCGCCGAGGACGTTGGCCTGGGGGAACAGGTCGGCGGCGCGATCGAGGCCGAGGAACTCAGGGGTGCGGGTGGTGTGGAGCTCGTACCGGGACTCGGGGATGACGGAGAGGATCCCTGGCTGGGATTGGAGCATCTTGGCTTGAGCGAGAGTCAGGCGAGTGGCGTAGCCATGGATGGCGTTTCGGTAAGTGTAGAGCATGTGGGCGGATTGGGAAACGGATTTGAGAGAGGATTCGTACCAAGTGGTGTGGAGGTCGAATCTGTCCGGCATCTGGGATGTGGCCATTTGGACTATGTAAGTCCTCCTCTGCTGCTTCGCCGCCGAGAGACCCAGCAGGAGAGAAACGAGAAGGAGGAGGAGTAGTAGGAAACTACTCTGTTTCATCTTCGTCTCCATTATTGATTCTTGCAGAATGGTGGGGAGGTGGGATGGGAATTGAAGAAGGCTTCTCTTCTCTGCTGTGAATGGAACAGCGAGAGCGCTGCTAATAAAGACTTGAGGGAAGATGGGAGAGAAGAGAGAGGATGGAGGAAAAAGGACGGTGGATGGTTGTCTGGTAGTGATGATGAATGATTAGTGCCGGAGGAGAGAGAGAGAGAGAGAGTGAGCTGGGCTGGGCAGCTTTGAGTCACGTGGTTTGGAGTAAGCTTAGCTATTATCCATGGTTTACCCAGATTCTCTTCTCCTTCCTCCTTGCTTTCCTTCAGTCCTTTGTGCAGTAACAGTAAGTGTTTCTTTCCTTTTTTCCCTTTCGCAGGTGGGAATGGCCGCTGGAAATGGAGGTGGTGGTGGGGGAGGAGGAGGAGGGGATAAAAAGAATCTGGAGAAACGTTTCGGAGGTTTCAGCGTGAAGGGATTAGGATCATCATTATCAAGATGGTGGTCAGTGGTCACGGGGTGCTTTTCTGCACTTGTTGTTTTCTTTCTTTCTATATATTTCTTTGTTTGTTTTGATAGTGTGTGTTGTTTTTTTTTTGTCATCTTCTTTTTGTGGCTTCTTTTTCCTTCAATTGGTGGGCGAGTGGGGTGGAGACCCAGCCAGATGTGGAGGTTTACCGGCCAACCAACCCCCTAATTGTTTCTTGAGGGTTTTTTTTTTTTTTTAAACTTTCCCATCTTCTTGGTGAATGGTTTACTTGGATGATGGAACATAAGCTTGCTCTCTCCATCACGCTTTCTCTTTTTGGGAGGGGGAGTACAGAATAGCCGATGGTAGATCCAATTCTGTCTTGGGTTTTTCCTCATGTTTGTGTAACCAAAAGGTAGTAGAGCATCAACACCAACGCCAATGCAATTATATGAGGTTTCTATTGTCGCCTTAATATTTTTTCAATCCAACTCATTAATGTAATTTGAATTTCACCTACAAAATTCACTTACAGTTGCATATATAATTAAATATTATGTTTAAATTGTGAGGAAAAAATTATAATATAATATAAAATAAAGAAATCCAGTTTTTTAGACTTTTTTACTTTCATATGCAATTACATTTATTGCAAACTCACAAATATGCAATTAGTAGCTATTGTACCTTCAACAATGTCTCTACTTTAAATTGATTGCTTGTATTTTGAGTTCTCAAGTGGGGCTGAGGTGCAGAACGAGTGATAAGGAATATAATTTCTTTTATAGGTGAGATTGATACTACTCAAGGGTTTACGCACCAATTGGTTAATGAATTGATTGAACACACGACCTTGCATGTGTATATCAACAACCCATCCAACTGGGGTATCTCTCTTTTGGTTAGATGAATACATAGGGGATATGAGATCTCCCGTCGGAGACCCATTTGGGTTGGAAAATTCTCAGACCGCTATTGATTGGGAAAATAGAGAGAAAGGATCTCATTAGAGCTAGAGTGAGAGAGTTTAAATAGAAGCTAAGGAGGAAGATTTTCACTCTTTGATTAAAATTCTTAAAGGATCGAAGAGCCTCTCAAGATGCATTCTATCCTTTTTTTTTTAATTTCTTCTTCCCTTCCTTCCATGGACCCAAACCCCCTTGTATTTGGGTAAGTAGAACCCTAGTTCAAATTTGAGATTGATTATGGATGAAATTGGTATGTATGAACCCTAATTACTTGTTATGACTACTTGATGTTTTATTATGATAATATATTTCCCTAATTTGAGTGATTGAATGTCTTGTTCTTGACCTAAACTGCTGACCATTGAATTGAAGTCTCATTTTCCATTGGTATTGTCCCCAATTAAAGAATCTTAGCCTCAAGCTCTAGGTATTAGTTGGTTGCATGATCATTGAACCAAGTAGATACATAGAAGTGTATATCTAAGTGCATGATCATTGACTTAGGTACTAGCCTAGTAGATTCTTGCATCATTAAAGGATTAGAAAAGTACCTGGAGGTTACATTCATCCAATAGCATGATAGAGCTATCAAATGCATGATAGAGCTAGGGGGATACCAACCCCAAGTACCTCATCTCTATTGCGTTAGTCGTTAAATTGCAAGTTAGTTCTCTTGATTGTTAGAAGAAATTCACTAATCATATTTTGCGTATTTGAAGGGTAGATTTGCACTATGAAGTACATCTTTACTTGAGTACAAGCAAACCTTAAGCGTGGGACATTTGATGACACACATTTTATACATATTTAAGACACAATTTCTTAGGTGTTTGAATGTCATAATCATCATGCTTATGTAATTTTTGATTGATTTCATGCTATTGGTAGCACGAAGGTTACCAGTTTTAAACCATTTTGTTCATAGCTTGCTCATTGTTACCAAACTATATGCCATGTTATGTTTTCTTTTCTGATCTTATGTTCTAAATTTTTGAGGAATGTGTGTACCAAGTTCCAAGTCAATCGAAATTCATTTGGGGGTGAAAATAAGACTCAAGGTCAGGTCACAACCAGAGTCACGATTGTGACTCAAATCATGACCAATGTTCACGACTGTGAACGCAAGAAATGACTAGATTATAAGGCCTTGCAATTAGCCTCGTGGTTACGAAGAACCATACCTCAATTCTAGAGTTCACAGCCATGAGATTAAGTTCACATGCGTGAATTTGAAGTTTCGGCCTGTGAACTTGCTCACTGATAGTGCCAATCGTGGCCCAAGCCGTTAGTAGTGTCAGCTTCATGAAAGTTCATGGAATTTGGCTAAACTTCACACTGTGAACTCTATGCCATGAACTTTTACCTGTCCTATACATACTAGGGGGACGAGGGAGGTAATTTTTTATCAAAATAGAGAGAAAGCGTTTCCTTAGACATAGAGTGAGTGAGAGTATAAAGAGGAGCTACAAAGGAAGGTTTGCACTCTTGGATGGAGGATTCTTGATGGATTGAAGGAGCACATGAAGATTGAAGAGCTCCCATGATGAATTCTCTCCTTCTTCTCTTTGTTTCTTCTTCCCTTTCATTCATGAGCTAAAATCCACCTTGTCCTTTGGTAAGTAGAACTCTAGCTCAAATATGTGATTGATATGAATGAAATTGGTATGTATGAACCATAATTACATGTTATGAGAACTTGATGTTTTGATTATGCTAATATATTCCCTAGTTTAATTTATTGGTTTCTTTTTTCTTGACCTAAGCTAGTGACCATCTTCTTAGGTTGAGATTAAAATCCAAATAAAGTAGCAAGGGATATTAATTTCATGACCACTGAATCGAAGGTTTTCCCCCAGTTTAAGAATCTAAGCCTCAAGCTTTAGGCATTAGTTGATTGAACCAAGTAGTTACCTATAAAGTGTATCTACGTGCATGACCATTGGCCTAGGTACTAGCCTAATAGATTCTTGCATCATACAAGGATTAGGGTTAAGTAAAAACTCTCCGCCCTCTCTCTAGCGTCTCTTTCTAGTCTCTAGCGGTGGAGTCGTCGGCTTCACCTCTAGGTGACAGGCGGCAACCCATTTTCCATCCTCTTCATCCTGCTTCACCTCTAGAACTCTAGCTCAAATATGTGATTGATATGAACGAAATTGGTATGTATGAACCATAATTACATGTTATGACAACTTGATATTTTGATTATGCTAATATATTCCCTAGTTTAATTTATTGGTTTCTTTTTTCTTGACCTAAGCTAGTGACCATCTTCTTAGGTTGAGATTAAAATCCAAATCAAGTAGCAAGGGATATTAATTTCATGACCACTGAATCGAAGGTTTTCCCCCAGTTTAAGAATCTAAGCCTCAAGCTTTAGGTATTAGTTGACTGCATGAGTATTGAACCAAGTAGTTACCTATAAAGTGTATCTAAGTGCATGACCATTGGCCTAGGTACTAGCCTAATAGATTCTTGCATCATACAAGGATTAGGGTTAAGTAAAAACTCTCCGCCCTCTCTCTAGCGTCTCTTTCTAGTCTCCAGCGGGGGAGTCGTCGGCTTCACCTCTAGGTGACCGGCGACAACCGATTTTCCATCCTCTTCATCCTGCTTGTTTTTTCTAGCCCTTGTGACTCTCTCCATTACTATTGTGCTACTTCCCTAAGTGGATTTTTCCATGAACTTCTCCTTGGAGTTGTTTCCTCTACATTTCAGATCTTGAAGTCAGTTCTCGGTTTGGTTCTACTCCAAGCTTCCTGTTTCTAGTCTAGATCTTGAAGCTCTGGAGGGCTCGTTCTGGTGGGCAAATGGGGATATGGAAGTTCGTTTTTGTGGCTTGTCTTCTTGTTGGTAAATCTCCCATCTACCTCCTTGTTTCACCCACAGAGTCGGTGATCTGGAGATGCAACGACCTTCTCATCATGCAGCGGTCTGGATGCGGTTTATGGACAAGAAGGCAGGGGCACACTCTCTCAGATCGTGTCAGGTTCCTCTGATCTCTTCCAGTCGGCTTTGGTTTTGCCTCTCGTGTCTCTGGCTCTCTGCAAATCTTCTCTTGGCTTTTGAGGCTCTTGTTTGGGGATCTTTTTTTCGAAGGGACCGGATCTTCATGTGGCGGGTTTGGTGGCGATCAGCTGATGTTCTTGAGGGTTGAAGGAGGCGGCTGCTGCTGTGGGGTGATTCACATTTGCTTGTTAGGGTTTGTGTGGGCTCTATATTTTTGTTGAACTTTTGCCGGGCCTGTTTTTGTTTCTTTCTTTTGCCTTTGTATGGACCATTATGTTGGGCTTTCATTTTCTCTTTGCTTTTGTGATGCCTCTCCTAGGGTATGTTTGTTGTATGTACCCTAACTTTGCTCCACATTAAATGCAATGCAAGCATTTTCCTGTAAAAAAAATACAAGGATTAGGGGAGTTCATGGAGGTTCCGTTCATCAATTGCATGATAGCGCTAGGGTTATACCAACCACA